GGCACTTCTAGATATAGCCAGAGCATTCAGATTCCAATCTAGATGCAAATCAGATACTGGGGTATTTGCATTCAATCTGCAGTATATTTGATGAACAGACTGAGTTCTGTTGTGATTCAAGGGAAAAGTCCCTATGAGCTTCTATATAAGAAGAAACCCTCTTTAACACATCTGAGAGTTATTGGATGTCTACGTTATGCAACAAATGTAGTCAACGGAGACAAGTTTGGAGAAAGGGATAGAGTTGTAGTGTTGATGGGATAGTCAGAGACTCAGAAGGGTTACGTACTTCTAGACCTTCACACACACCATTTTTTCGTAAATAGAGATGTCATATTCTAGGAGACTGAATTTCCTTTTGCCAAGGCATCCACAACAGCTTAGGCCAAACACTATGACATTCATGCTCCTTTGGAGCAGAACAACTTGTTTGCTGATTATTTTGCAGGTAAGGAACAACCCAATGATAGTGCTGATCAAGGACCTGATGTTGTGGAACAAGAATATGTTATTGAAGATCATGCTAAAGCATAGAATATCACTAGTGCAGAATAGACACTATCACCTACTGTTGAAGAACAACTGATGACAGATGCAAGAACAGCTCCATCCCTTGAGGAGTTCCAGGTTGAGGAGGGTGAAGTAATGACATCTGATCAATCTACAATCCTCAAGAGGTCTGCTAGAACAAGCAGGCAACCTATTTTATGAAGGACTATGTAGTCCAAAGTGGCAAAGCAGGCAACAAACATCCCATTTACAATCATCTGTCTTATGACAAGATTACACCAACATATCACAGCTATCTTGCCAAGTTTTCTACCCTTATTGAACCTCAGACTTTTAAGGAAGCAGTTAAGGATGAAAGATGGGTAGAATCCTCGAAGAAAGAAATTAAAGCCTTGGAAGAAAACAACACAGGAGGTGGTGACTCTTCCTAAGGGTAAGAATACAGTTGGTTCAAAGTGGGTCTACAAAATCAAATACCGGGCTAATGGTAAGATTGAAATATTTAAAGCAAGGTTAGTTGCAAAGGGCTACAGTCAAAGAGAAGGATTGGATTATCATGAAACCTTCTTTCCAGTGGTCAAGATGGTTACAACGAGGACAGTGGTTGCATTAGCAGTCTCCAAGGGTTGGAATTTATATCAAATGGATGTATAGAATGCCTTCTTAGAAGGTGATCTATATGAAGAAGTTTATATGCATATGTAGAAGGATTCAGGAGACAAGGGGAGCAGAAAGTTTGCAGATTGCTTAAATCTTTATATAGATTGAAACAAGCATCTAGGCAATGGAATATTAAACTAACAGATGCATTAGTGGAAGAAAGTTTCATGCAGAGCAGCTATGACTATTCATTGTTTACCTTAAAAGGGGGATGTGGTGATTATTCTAGTGTATGTGGATGATTTACTCATCACTGGAAGCAGTACTGAGTAGATCGATGAAGCTAAAGGGGTGTTGCACCAAAAATTCAAATTGAAAGACCTAAGAGAGCTCAGGTATTTTCTTGGCATTGAAGTCTTGAGGTTTAAGTTAGGTGTCATCCTAAATCAAAGAAAATATCTCTTAGAGTTAGTTTCTGATCTAGGCTTGAGTGGTGCTAGGGTAACTAACACACATTTGGATCCAATCTAAAACTAACAACTGTGGATTATGTAAGGCAGTTGGGATCAAAGATGATGAATTACTGGAAGACATCAGCAAATACCAGAAGTTAATTGGGAGGCTAATGTATGTTACCATCACAAGACCTGATATCAACTATGCAGTCCAGACCCTTAGCCAGTTCATGCAAGCACCAAAAAAATCTCATAGGGAGGCTGCAACAAGGCTGGTCAGATATCTAAAAGGTACCGCAGGTCAAGGAATTTGGTTGCACGCTACAGAAGCCAGTGAGTTGACCTGTTGGTGTGATTCAGAATGGGCATCATGTCCAAATACACGAAGGTCGGTGACAGGGTATGTTATGAAGCTTTGTGACTCTTTGATCTCTTGGAAGTCAAAGAAACAACAAACAGTACCTAGAAGTTCAGCAGAGGCAGAATACAGAAGCATGGCCTCAGCAGTAGCAGAAATTACTTGGCTACTGGGATTATGCAAAGAGCTGGGAATTACAGCTAGAGAACCAGTAATTATGCACACTGATAGTAAGGCTGCTATGCAAATAGCAGTCAATCCAATTTTTTCATGTATGGACAAAGCATATAGACATTGATTGTCATTTCATTCGAGACAAGATTAAATGTGGAACGATCAAGCATGTATATGTTCCTACAAGGGATCAATTAGCAGACCTTTTGACTAAGGGGTTAGGTCATGCAGCACATGTGCATCTATTGAGCAAGCTGGGAGTGTTAAACATTTTGTACCCTCCAGCTTGAGAAGGAGTATTGTGAGATGCACTATGGTGGTGGACGTATGGCAAGTTGTGAACAGCTGGATGCCAACAAGGATAATTTTAGTTGTGATTAGTTAGAAGATGTAGTTAGGAGTTTAATCAGGTTGTTAGTCGGTTAGGATATTAGTATATATACTCATTAGTGGCAATGAAACAGTGGGATTTTCCACTTTCTTCTTCTGCAATCTCTCTTCTCTTCTTCTTCTCAGAACATCCTAGAGCATTGAAGCTCAGAGTTGTGAGATAATCGTTGCATTTTGGCAATATTCTTTATAAGTTTTCAAATTGACTTCTTTTCAGTTATAATTTTTCCAAAAATCTATTCACGTAATCCCCTATAAATTGTACTAAAGAAAATATTTCACCATTGAAAGGGAAGACAAAAAAGCATAAAAAATGGCTTCAAGGAATATGGTTTTACTTGGTGTTTGCACTAAATTTTCAATATACGAAAAATAAAACTGCAATCACAAACGAATAAAGTGATTTTATTGATAAACATTACGGATTACAACTTTGTTTATCCCTTGATTCTTCCTCCGAATTATTCTCCGTGATTCGAGGGGTGGATCAGCGTATTCTCGAACGTAGAATGATACGGACCTCTTTGGATTATTTAATCTCCATGAAAGTCGATCAATGTGAGGACATTCTTCTTGAAGTATTTGACTATCAAGAAGAACATCTATTGATCACGACATTATTTTATGCCTTGATCCCTTTGTGAATATCCCGAGAATTTATGGGATTTTTTTGAGGCCTCTTCAATGGAATATGCATCCCTTTATATAGGTGTGCGTTAGGGTTTAGGGTAGAGTAACCTCCAAGAAACCCTGATAGACTCCTAGGATTTCAAGAGACTTGTAGTATCTTGAATTTAAGATTTAGCTTGATCCTTTAAAATTTCGATGTCTTGGCATTTTGTTTGTCACATGCTATTAGTATCTCTTTCTCCGAATATCTATTTTATTCCCCCCCCCCCCCCCTCCTTTGTATATAGAGCAAATCTAAGATTTTTCTTCAATAAATACACAGTAACAATTGTTAAATTGAACAAGTTTGATGAATCCGCGTTGCCTAGAAAGGTTTTGTGTCTGCGTGGAGGATTTAGATTGCGCCACTTTTCTAGATTGTAGGAAGGTCTTTGAAGGTTGTCCCAATTTGCGATGTATTCATAACCCATAGAATTGTCCACAATTGGGTTCAAAATAATTGTGATCAATTATACTCTACTTTTTTATTTTGTTTTCAAATGTATACTTAATTTGGGCCAAAAGTAGTGGGTTCAAAATTGAATTTGTAGAATTCGCTCTAGAACCCCCTTTGATTAAAAAAAATTGAATTAAATTAGGTTTCTAACTTGGTCGCTTTTGTTATACTGATTTATGTATAAACTGAGTTTAGTTATTTTAAACAACCATAAGACCACACAATAATATATATTGGGACGGAGAGAGTATTAACTAAGATAGGAAGGGTCGCATTGTGTCAAATGCCCACTTTAGGGCCCCAACTAATCACATCGCGAAAGAACCATTAAAAAGGGAAGTGTGTCCTGCCAAAAAAATCTCGAGACAAAGATCCTAGTCTCATGCTTTACATAACAGAAGAACTTACAAAAGGAGAAAGAAATAACTAGTTTAAGCTTTATTCCTCATCCTACGTTCGGGTGTCTACAATTGAATTCTTTTCTGGTTCCTGTCTTCCTATTAATGTTACAGATTTTCATCCTTGTTACCTGATATATGCATATATGACATGTTCATTATAATGTAGATGGCAAGGCAAACAGAAAGTCCTGGTAAGTGCTAAACTAGCTTCTGACAGTTCAACTAGTTGTTTAAGGTAAGGCCTCAGCAGAACAGTACAGTTATGTTTGTACATGTACTAATGTATGAGTTATGCATTGTGCACTAGAACCAAATGGCAGTGTTTTCGGAAAGATATGTATGTGTGTATAAGAAATTCCCTTTCACAAGTACTAATGTATGAGTTGCGCATTGTGTGTTAACCACAACTATTCACAATGCACACTCCTTTGAGTTGACTGCTGGAAGATGATTGTTAATTTGGTCTTTACAAAAAGGCAGACAGCTGCACTAAGCTCCCGTTATGCTCGGGGTCCGGGAAAGGGCCGGACCACAAGAGTCTATCATATGCAGTTTTACCCTGCATTTCTGCAAGAGGCTGTTTCCACGGCTCGAACATGTGACCTTCCGGTCACATGGCAGCAACTTTACCAGTTACGTCAATGCTCCCCTTCTAATTTGGTCCTTACAAAGTCAGAAAAACTACTCCCCAAGACAATCCTCAGATTTTCATTTATATTGGCCTATGTTTGACTCTAAGGGGGAGCAAATAGATGTTCCGTAGTCATGTAATCATTCACTACAATCTCAATTTGCAGTGACATCTAGATAGTTGACACGCTATTTGGATAATATATCCAAGGATCTAACATTACTCGACATTACTCTACCAAAGCGATATATGCAATAATGATGAAGAAGTTCAATACTTGAATTGCAAGAACTACATTGCTTAGTCGAAAACTGCAGATAGTCAGGTTTCTTTATAGTGACTTAATGCTCAACCAGAAAGACAATATGTATCCTACATTGCAAGATAGAGTAACTAAAATTTCAAGGTTACAGGAATCAATCGCATGTGCACATCCCAATCTATCACAGAAATTAAAATTCAAGACTGACCAAAGAACATTTATACTATCAGAAAATTTTCTGTCTAACAGAGATGGTATTTAACAGCTTACATTTCACTTTAATTTCTGCAAATTGGACACAAGATTTGAGGCTCCAAAAGCAGCAGAGCCACCAACAACAGAAAGCAGAGCAACCAAAACCTGCACTCCAATTTGCCAAGGGTAATCTTCAGGGACCAGATACACACAAGCAGGACCAAGAACCAACAAACCCAAGCTCAAGCTAAACAGCGCAGATGGGGTTCCAGGGTCAGTAGCTGCAGAAAGAATCCCAAACTCTTCAGCTTTGGAAAGAAGACCAAGTCTTTCAATTGTTGACAAAGAAAGTCCAGATTTCTCAGCAGCTGATAGTAAACCAGCTTTCTCTGCTTTAGTTAGAAGCCTCAATTGCTCCACCCTTGTCAATAACTTCACTGCCGGTGTTGATGTAGAATTGCTAGGCCTAGGACCTTTTTCCCCTAAGGGAAACACAGTTGTTGTCTGCATTATGTGATAACATACAAACATTAATTAATTCACCAAATATGTATTTAAACTGTAAATGCTGAGATATAATTAATCAAGAATCTAACCTTTTTAGAAGTGACAGTTGTGGCCGCTGATGGAGTTGGTTTTTGGGTAGCCATAGATCGGATGAGAAGTGGGGTGCTTGAAGCAGAGAAACGTGTTATTGCAATGGCCTCCATCATCATATTCTTTTTCTTTGGTCCAACTATTTGGCTAAAGGAGTTCAAAGCTAAAGCATGTTTCCATTTTTGTGAGGCCAGGACCCGGAGAAGATATCATGAAATGTTTGATTAAATTCTAGCCGGTTGGTTGTCCACGTGTCATCACCTCATTGGACACTATTTTTGTTCATCTTCGCTCTCCTCCACTCAGTCCTCTCGAGGGGAAATTTTAGAACACCAAATTTGCCTTTTAAAGAAGAACTGGTTTATTTGGATTAGGAAGTTAGTTTAAAATGACCTTTTTAATGGAAAAAATATAATCACTTATACTGTTACGCGGCGCCTTCCTGAGATTCCTTGGAAGGCCGACGTAAGGCTAAGCAACTGATGTCAGTGCAGTTAGTGTCCGCCAACTGAGGTCCCCTCCGTACGCTAGACTAGATTGTCAGTGCCGTACGGGAAAACCAATGTCAAGAACAATTGAGAGAACAGAAATGAGAATTGAGAATGAAAGAAAGCTTGATTGCATTAATGAAAGCTATTACAGAAAAGCAACGCGTTGTCGAGGGGGAGAGACACCAGTACAGAGAATTGATTGCTTGCTAAAAAGTTTGATTGCTTGATCCCCCTAATAATGCTTAAAAAAAATAATCCAAAACTACAAGACTAGACTTGACTAAGCTAGAGAAACATAATGGAAGTACATGAAATAAAACTACTCTATATTTACAATGAAAATGACTTAGTTTTCTATAAGGCAGCAGCAGGTCCGTTGTCAGCAGCAATGTCTTTGGCATCACGGTCTGCGCGTGCGGCGCTGTTGGCATCTGCCTGCGGCTTGGCGCTGGCGAGGGATATCGGTGGGGCGACAGAGGCACCTGTGCGCTTGTCACTTGGCGCGGCCATCCGTGGTGCTAGGCATTGGGAGGCTTGCTAGGACGCCACGGGGCGCACCCAAGGGGTCATGGGGTATGGCTGGAAAGCCGCCCATGACATTCTCCCCCACCTGAGTTGGCGATGTCCTCGGCACCTTACTTGCAAAATAATCTTCAATGAGGCTCTTGTAGGCTTTGAGGTTTGTTCCCCTCTCCCAAGTATTCTCTTCTGCATCACAACCCTGCCGTTTCACCAAGAACTCTTGGTGATCTTTCCTTGAGGCATGAATCACTCTGTCATCAAGGATAGCTTCAACACGCCTTTTCCCGGTTGCATTGGGACCTCGAATACTGGGTATTGTGAGCTGGCTCCTTGAAAGATCCTCCGTGTCTTCCCGAAAAGGTTTCAGGAGACTGACATGGAAGATAGGATGAATTTTCCACCAAGCTGGGGTATCTACCCAGTATGCAACTTTCCCAATGCACCTTTCAATGGACAAGGGTCCAATGTATTTTTGCAATAGGCGAGGGTCATGGACCCCCGCAAATAAGTACCGCTTTGGGATTTTGACCATCACTTTGTCTCCTACTTGATATTCAACAAAGCGACGATTCTGATCAGCATGCCTCTTCATCCGCTTTTGAGCTTTGACAAGATAGCTCCGCACTATCTCCAAATTCCGCTTCCACTCTTTTGAGAAGCTAGCAGCTCGAGGAGATTTAGCCATGTTTGGTGCATTCACAGTGTGTGGGAGTAGCGGTTGTTGTCCGGTAACAATTTCAAAAGCGCTTTTGTTTGTACTAGAGCTCTTTCTTGAATTGAAACACAGTTGAGCAGCATCCAGAAGCTTCACCCAATTCTTCTGCGATCCGATTACAAAGTGGCGGAGATATTCCTCCAACATACCATTGAACCGCTCCGTCTGGCCATCAGATTGCGGATGAAAACTTGAGCTGTGACTCAATTTTGACCCAAGGCACTTAAAGAGTTGGGTCCAAAATTTGCTAGTGAAGCGTGAGTCGCGATCATTAACAATGTCTTTGGGCAGGCCCCAATATTTGATGACATGAGAGAAGAAGAGTCGAGCTGTATCTTCTGCTGATATATATTGTGGGGCTGCAATAAAGGTGGCATACTTGGAAAACCGGTCCACCATAACCAAGATAGTTGTGAGATCTCCGACCTTGGGCAATCCAGTGATGAAATCCAGGGAAACGCTTTCCCAAGGTCTCTTTGGGACAGCTAGTGGTTCCAAGAGTCCCGCTTGTGTCAAGCGTCCGACTTGTCCTTCTGGCATACTAGACAAGTTTTCACATACTGAGCGACATCATCGGCCATTTGAGGCCAATAATAGGCACGACGAAGTAACGCCATGGTGCGTTCTTCACCGGGATGGCCGGCCCACAGAGTATCATGACATTCCGCTAGAAGAGTCCTCCGCAGATCTCCTCCTTTCGGAACATAAAGTCGGTTCCCTTTGACTTTCAGAAAACCATCTTCCATGTAGAACTGGCGAGTCTTGCCCTGTCCTACCAAATCAACCAAATACTGAGCAGCAGGATCCTTGATGAGTAGATCCTGTATTTGGTCCTTGATGGAGGTGGCTACTTCGCTCCCCCTTAGGGTGGCGAGTAGGCACACCGATGCTAGATCAGCTCTCCGGCTGAGTGCATCAGCAACATGATTGGTCTTTCCACTGCGGTACTCCAGGTTGAAGTGGAATTCAGCTAGGAGTTCCAGCCACCTGGCCTGTCGACCGTTCAGCTTCGGCTGGATCATGAAATGGCTGCAGCTGTGTTGTCTGTCTTGACCACGAACGGGGTCCCCAACAGATAGTGCCTCCAAAGGCGCAAGCAGTGGACGACAGCCAATAATTCTTTCTCATGGGCAGCATAGCGCCGTTCTGCATCCTTCAGCTTCCGAATCTCGTACGCTACAGGGCGCCCTTCTTGTAGCAAGACTCCGCCGAGGGCATAGTCAGATGCATCCGTTTGTACCTCGAATGGCTTGGCCAAATCAGGGAGAGCCAAGACGGGGATACTAGACATAGCCGCTTTTAATGCGTTGAAGGCCTCCGCTCTCCTCGGTCCCCAATCCCAGGGTGTGACCTTCTTGAGGAGTTCTGTCAATGGCCCTGCGATAAGGGAGTAGTTCTTCATAAATCGACGGTAGAAGTTGCATAGGCCAAGGAACGCCCTCAAGGCGTGGACATCCTTAGGTGGCGGCCAATCCGTGATGGCCTAAATCTTCTGTTGGTCCATCTTGATGCGCCCTTTCTCGATGGCATGTTCGAGGAAGTCAATTTGCTTCTGAGCAAAGGAGCACTTGGATAGCTTCGCATAGAGTTCATGCTCCCGCAAACGAGCTAGGACCTTCCGCAAGTGCACTTGGTGTTCTTCCAATGTTTGGCTATATACCACAATGTCATCCAAGTAGACCACCACGAATTCGTCAATGTACTCTCAGAAGACTTGGTTCATCAGAGTGCAAAATGTAGCTGGGGCATTAGTCAAGCCGAACGGCATGACCAGGAAGTCGTACGACCCATATCTTGTCACACAGGTCGTCTTGTGTTCATCACCCTCTGCGATCCGAACTTGCCAGTAACCTGTCTTGGTCTATCTTGGTAAACACCGTCGCACCACCCAGTCTATCGAACAAGTCTGCCATTAGAGGGATAGGGTACTTGTTCTTCACGGTGATTTTGTTTAGAGCTCGATAATCCACACAGAGTCACAGGCTGCCATCATGTTTCTTTTGGAATAGAACAGGGGACCCATATGGGGACTTGGAGGGTACAATGATCCATGTATCTAGCATTTCCGTCAATTGTCTCCGAAGCTCGGTGAGTTCGGGTTGTAACATTCTGTAAGGCGCCCGGGCAGGTGGCTTCGCGCCCGGCACCAACTCAATTTCATGGTCCACAGTACGCCTAGGCAGGAGCCGCTTTGGCATGTCTTGTGGCATGACATCTTCAAACTCCAGTAGTAGCTCCTCGGGAATGGGACCCGAGGAGCGTTCTATATCTTCAATGCAGAGGGTTGCTAGGAACGTAGGTTCATTCCTTTTGACCCCCTTCTTCAACTGCAAGGCCGAGATGTTCTCAACGGCCATCTTCATGGGTATGCACGGGATAATGCAGGGCTTGGCCCTATTGGTTCCCATCATCAGTAGCATGTCTGCAAATGGTACAGGCATGGTGTTGGTTTGCCTTAGGAATTCCAGCCCAACTATCAGCTCGAAGTCATCTATGATCACCACTCGCAGGTTGAATTTTCCTTCGTAAGGGCCAAGCTTCACCGGTACCTCTTTAGCTATTCCACCCACTGGCTGGGGAGGTGAGTTGATAGCCTTGACACTACCTCTACCTTTCCCTACAACTAGACCAAGGCGCTCCACCTGAGTCGAGGCTAAGTAGTTGTGGGTAGCACCCGTGTCTATCATAGCCCGAATGGGCTTGCCATTCACCTTCATCTCAACGAACATTAAGGTCCGCTCTTGTTTAAGAGGAGTCTCCTCATCTGCCTTCTTTTTCCCTTTCTTGGTGACTGGACATGGGTCCTTCTTCTTACGGATACCAGCACTAGTCTCCGCTAATGCCTCAAAAATGGAGCCAACAATTGCATTGAAGGCACCTACTAGTTCAGTCTGGTCCGCATCGTCTGAGTCGTCATCAGTCCCATCATCAATAGCCTGATGGGCGTTCATCTGTGCATGTGGGCACTCATTGTTCCAATGTGGTCCACCACAATGACGGCATCCTGAAGGAGGCTTTCTCCCCCAGTCATTGTTGTTTGACGCAGCACTGTTGCTGCCTGAGGAAGGAGCTTTAGATTTGGTTGAGTTCCGATCTCCCCCACTTCTGCTAGGGCCACCATTGCTAGGCTGGCCCCCTTTGAATCCCGCTCGGGCAGGCGGCTGAGGCCTATCCTTCCGAGCTTCCATTTGGTAGTCCCCAAGGAATTCAGCTGCTTGGATCGCCTTGGGTAGGGTATCTACCCTTTGTATTTGTAGCTCCACACGGGCATAAGGTTTCAACCCTTCCAGGAAGGTGAAGAGCTTGTCCTTGTCCCCCATGTCGTGTATGCTTAGCATGAGCGCAGAGAATTCCCGCACGTAGTCCCGCACTGATTTGGTCTGGCGGAGCTCCCGTAGCTTCCTCCTTGCATTGTATTCAACATTTTCGGGGAAGAACTGTAGGCGTATGGCTGCCTTCAGTTCTGCCCATGTCTCGAGAGCATCTTCACTGGCCCTGATGGCTTCGTGCTTCACCCGCCACCAGAGTTTAGCATCACCCTGAAGATACATGGCAGCAGTTGCTACCTTCTTAGCTTCCTCCAGG